ACAAGCAGCGTTTTAGTTGGGCTTTTGAGATTTTGATGTGCATATCTACCCAGACTCTAGGCTTTGGCTTGGCCGGTTTCTTCCATCGGTTCCTGGTCACGCCAGCCGCCATGATCTGGCCCTCTACTCTCATTAACTCCGCACTCTTTACTGCTTTGCATGATCACTCAAAGCCCGATCCACGAAAGGTCTCTGGATGGACCATTGGAAAGTACCGCCTCTTTCTGTACTGCATGATCGGATCATTCGTCTGGTACTGGTTCCCCGGATACATTGCTCCGTTCTTGAGTACCTTCGCTTTCATCACCTGGATCAAGCCCCAGAACCCGGTCATCAACCAGCTCTTTGGTGGTTGGACCGGGCTTTCCCTCATCCCCATCACGTTTGACTGGACACAGATCTCTGGTTTCAACTTCAGTCCCCTGATCTCCCCGTGGCATGCGCACATGAATACTCTGATTGGTATGGTGATATTTTTCTGGATCACCACAATGGGCGTGCACTATAGTGGTATGTGGTACGGCAAGTACTTGCCCATTAGCGACTCAGGCAGCTACGACAACACTGCCAGCCGGTACAAGGTGTCTAAAATTCTGACCTCAAATTACGAGTTTGACCAAGCCAAGTATGAACAGTATTCGCCTCTTTTCCTGTCCACCACATTCGCTCTGAACTATGGTTTGAGTTTTGCTACCATCATCGCTGTGCTCCTTCATACTGGACTCTTTCATGGGAAGGAGCTGTGGGCGCGGCTACGCAAGTTCGGTGAGGAGGAGGAAGACGTCCACGGTCGTCTCATGTCCCGATTCAAGACCGTCCCATTGTGGTGGTATGCTGTACTTTCACTGGTCATGATCGGAATGGGTCTAGGCGTTGTACTGGGCTATCCAACTCATTTGACCTGGTGGGCCTTTTTTGTCTCCTTGATCATCGCCGCTGTGTGGTTCGTGCCCATTGGTCTCGTGCAGGCGACGACCAACATTCAGATCGGACTGAACGTCATTACGGAGTTCATCATCGGTTACATGCAGCCGGGACGCCCTATGGCCATGATGTTGTTCAAGACCTACGGGTACATCACCATGTCGCAGGGCCTGTATTTCTGCCAGGACATGAAATTGGGTATGTCATTTATCAAAAACAGAAGAGTCGTCGAATTGGCACGATCATAGAGCTGACTTGAGTTCAACCTAGGCCACTACATGAAGCTCCCGCCTCGCGTGACCTTCACCGGACAGTTGGTTGCCTGTTTGTGGTCCTCGGTCGTCCAAATATGCACGATGAACTGGGCACTTGGAGCAATTAAGAACGTCTGCGACCCAAAACAGGCCAACCACTACACCTGTCCCAATGGCCGCGTATTCTTCAATGCTTCCATCATTTGGGGTGTCATCGGCCCCTCCCGCATGTTTTCTCCCGGTCAGATATATTCTGGTCTTATGTGGTTCTGGCTCGCTGGCGCCATTTTGCCCGTTGCAATCTACCTCGGTGCTCGCTACTGGCCCAAGAGTCCCATCCGGTACCTCAGCGCGCCCGTCATCTTCGGTGGTGCCGGACTGATTCCCCCCGCGACGCCGCTGAACTACCTCAGCTGGGGTATCGTAGGTCTTGTGTTCAACAGATACATCCGCAACCGTTTCCGCGGATGGTGGATGCACTACACCTACGTTTTGTCCGCAGGATTGGACGTCGGCCTGGCGCTGTGCACCATCCTGATCTTCCTCGCGCTTCAATTGACCGACACGAGTTTCCCAGATTGGTGGGGTACCAACATCGCCGCTGACACCATGGATGCCTCGGGGACGGCCATCCAGATTCCGTTGGAAGACGGCCAAACTTTCGGTCCCAAGTCCTGGTCTTGATGCCGTGCAGATTGCACGTCGGCCCAGGCATGCGACCTGTTAGATACAGGTGGAGCAGTGTCTGTCTGAGCTATGGGATGTTCGTGGGGGTTCTGTATTGTTCTTCTATGGTTTTGATGTCTTCCTGTCCGGCTGGACATGCAACCTATGTCATGATAATAATGTGATGACTTACTTACGATAATGCTTTTACGGAGCTACTTCAAGGTCATAATATTCATAATTTGACAACAACTTTCAAGTCTTATCGAGTCGGAAGTTTTGATCGCTTCGTAGGATTTGATATTTATATAATGCCCTCTGCACCAGCAGGAAGCGCTGCTGAACGGGATCATGCAGAGGAGCCAGAAGAACCCGAAAGATATCAACAATGCATAAACAACTGATCACATCGAAGAAAGTGAATCGAAGATATAGAAACATGAGAGAAGAAAGAAGAATTTTCAATACATCCAATTCATTGCATTATCGCGGGCCCTATCCAACGGTCAATTCCTCCCAAGTCATATCCTAGAATTCCACCAGCCATCACATTGCTCGACTGGTGGTGTTTAAACAGAGGCATGCGCAGTTCTCCGCTTCATCCCGACAATCAGTCCCAGAGGCTTGCGCAAGAAGCCCTCACGTGTCTGCATGGGTCCATCCTGCTGCATCTCGAACTCAAAGAGCCGGAAGATTGTGCCGGTCATGACGAGCAGTTCCATTTCGGCGACGTTGCGGCCGACGCAGGCGCGGGGGCCGGTGGAGAAGGGAATGAAAGCGGCCTTTTGGCGCGGTGTAAGGCGTGCGGGATCCCAGCGTTCGGGGACGAATTCCTCGGCGTCGGGGCCCCAGATTTCCTTGGAGCGGTGGATGGTATAGCTAGGTACGGAGACGACGTCGCCGGGGTAGAAGGTGTGGCCGGAGATGGTGATCGGGGGATTGCCGGGGGGGATCTCACGGGGAAGGCCCATGGCGGAGGTGCTGTGGATGCGCATAGTTTCCCAGATGACCCATTGCAGGCTGGAAGTGATTGTTAGCAAAATAACGAACGGGAGAGGCAATGGATGGAATGGGCGCATACTATGGAATATCTTTGACCATGGAGTGTGTGGGAACATCGACGTCGTCGGGAATAGCCTCGTCGAGAACCTTTTGGAGCTTGGGGATGACGCCGGGCGTATACATGCACCAGTAGAGGATTGCGCAGGTGGTGTTGGAGGTAGTATCTGAACCAGCGATGAGCTGGGTCAAGGCCTCGGCGGTGAGTTCCTCGCGGCCGAGCTTGTTGCCGTTGCTGTCCTTGCCTTCCATCAGGCGGGACAGGAGATCGACACGGGTGTTCTTAGCCATGACTTCTGGCTTGAGGCGCTCGTTGACACGGGCAACGGCGATACCGGCCAGGTTTTCAACGGCTTGAATGCCATCCTTGAAGAAGCGGTCTGGGAGATACTTGGCGTAGGGGATGAGTCCGGGGTGACAGCCGAGAGTAGCAGAGACCTCACCACGACGGTTGAGGACCTCGACAGCCTGGACGTAGGTGGGGGGCGAGTCAGGCGTCTTGCGCATCTCGGCAATATCCTTGCCCTTCTCGAGCATTCCAAAGGGAGCACCAAAGGCAAGGTCGCCAATGATGTCAAAAGCCAGATAGTTGAACCAGTTGAGAGCGTCGATGGTGGCATAGCCGGACCGGGGGTTACCATTGAGCTTGGCGAGCTTGGTCCACTGCTGAACGAACAGCTCGACGTTTTGGTGGATGTACTGCTCGAACTGGCCAATGGACTTCGTACTAAAGGTATGAGAGACAGTCTTGCGCTTGCGGGTATGTTCTTCACGGTCGCGAGTATTGAAAAGACCGCGACGAATCGAGACAAAGGCATCATAGAAATCGCTGTAAGGCAATAAGTCAAAGTTCGGAAGAGATCCGATGGGGATACACATACGACTTGAGAAAACCATTTCCGTGGCCGTAGATCGCCTGAATTGCATCGTCGTCCGCAATGGAGACATGTTTTGGCGCAATGCGAACCAGTTTTCCATATTTCTTGTGGGCCTCGTCCACCTTCAGGAACCGGTGACCTCTACGGGCCTGCAGGAGCAGCCAGAGGTTGCTAAATGCAGCAAAGCTCGGAGAAGGAATGTCATGTAGATGCCATGTCTGCAGGTACGGAAGAATGTAGTAAGCGGCAAGCAGACCCAGCAGGATAAAACCTGTGTTCTGCGGGGTGAGGATGTCGGTGATCATAGTGGGCCGATCCTAAATTCCAATCTGCAAAGCGGCCAGATCTGAGCAGGATTGCTTAACCATTAGTAACGACCGATGTAGATGCTGTGTTGCAATGGTCTGATAGGGCTGCAAATCAATTGCCTTGGACTAACCTTGTTGGTAGCTAGGTTGGTTGTTCCGGAGAAAGACTTTTGCGTGCCAAGAGGTGTCGTGTCAGTATATAAGGATAAACCAAGAAGCAACGGCCAGAGACTCAAGTCGATCACAAAGAGCCAGAATCTAGTCCATGGCACGCTGCTTATGATATAGTCTGCCAACAAACCGTGGCAGACACTGCAGTGATGCAGTCAGTCTATTTATGGATTGGAGGGTTGGAGCGGTTGAGGGGAAACCCCGAGGCTATCCAAGTGACGGATCTGGGGGTCGGGAGTCTGGGGATGGGCCCAAGCCGGCTACCAGCCGATCTGCGACCCCGACGCTGGCGTTTTCAACCGCTTCACCGCTCGGTTATTCTGCTTTGACTCTCGGTGCTAGTCTAGTATCAAGAGTGGGGTTGCCAATCATCCTGTCAGCAGTGGTAAAAGTGGCTAAGACAAACCTTGGTTGTGCGGAGCCATGTCTTGTAATAATTGGAGGTTTGCGATAGGTGATGGTTTGGAGGAAGAAGAACAAGTGATCGCCTGCCTGCCTGGATGCCTGATCCCAAGCGTGTCGAAGATGCAGATGATGCAGACTACTCCCAATTTATTGCAGATCTTTGCAAATTTACAACTTACAGACTTAGCCTAATAGGACTTGTAGTACTAGATGGTGTGGAGCATCTCATTCTCTATATCCAAATATGTACATGATATATCAGCGGCTCGACGGATAGGTCACATATGCTCCCTAGGGGTATGTACATCTCTATCAACGGTAAGTAGGCTGCACATTTACCATCGTTCTCCCTCTACTCGGTACAGTCCACTCTTCCTCTTTTCGGCCTCCCACCGTTCAAACCATGCTTTCATTCGATCCCGACTCTGCCGGCTACCCACATTCACAGTCGGGATTATCCGTCCTATCCGTAAGGCGCAGCAGAACATAGTCAGCTCACGGAAAGAGCTGTGTTCGCTATATGGTACCCCGTAGCACGCACTCTCCCGGGTACTCCCTCTTTGAGGTGTCAGATCGCGTGCCGAAAACGGCGTTTTCCACTGCGGTGAGTGCAACACTGTGGAGACGGGCGGGTTGTCCAGCATTCGACCTGCCGGCGGACGATAATTCCAGCCCGTCGGTCGAAAGCCTACAATGCGCGAGAAATGCGGCTTCATTGAGTCCAAGTAGTCGGCCAAGGTTTCTGCGCGAATCTCAAAAAGCGTCTGCATATGCACCTGAGCCTCAGCCGGATCATCAGTGAGTAGTGAGGATAATTCCGGGTCTTCTAAGCACGCGCACACTCGCTTCTTGGCTGGCGTGGCGTATATCTTGCTTTTTAGTGCTCGCGCGATGCCAAGACATATTCGCTCCTTGCCGATACTGTATGTCCCTATAACGACAAGCAACCGACCCTGAGCCCGCGCGGCCTGGTTCTCTGAATTGCCACGGGATCCGCTCATCGCAGAAAAGAATCGGCTCATAACATTCCCTGCACCAGAACTTCCCTTCTGCAACAGACTCTGACCAACACCTTCTTCCGGGTTCCTGTCGAGACTGACACAGAGATTCGCGCATGCTTCGATGACATCCTCCTGGCTGGGGAACGCATACTTAGGACTCATATATGTCGTGTCAAGGTAACAAACGTCAATTTTCTGTGGACGGCGTTGGCCAGTAGTAGGGTCATCTATTTCCGGACGCAATAGTGCATGTTGCACATGTGCGGGAGACGCTCGAAAGTCTCCACAATGCAAGATCCGTTGTACTCTCGCGGATGATCCGGATCCCACCTGTTTTTCGAAAAGGAAGATGGCGCTCCCAGGGCAGTGATTGGCCTCGATCATGGTGACATGCACGCCTTTCGTTCCAGGAACCTCTGTCTTCCTTTCGAACTGCAGGTCTACAACCCACTTGGGGTCAACCTTGAGTTGCTGGCGCACTAGATTGGCCGTAGCCCTGCTACAGTAGATAGGACCATGTCGCCAGGACGATGTGAGACCGATATAGTGATCACTATGGTAGTGGCTGAGAAAATAGGCGTTACAGCCTTCCACGGCACCATAGCGAAACGCATCCACGCAGATGGAAAAACCAGGAAGAATCTTGTAGAACGGACAAGTTCGTTGATAAGCCTGCTTCCCGCGAGACGCTATCTCTCCTGCTGCTGCAGTCGCCCAAGCGGCATCTTCAGCGTTTCCAGCCATAATCTCCGAGAAGGCTGATTTTGACTTTGTACCGACCGACGACAACGGGTCACGTTGAGCTGGTCGTGGGACAGCAGCCCTATCGGACCGCGATAGGGCTTGCTTCGGAGCGTTCGGGAGTGTTTCTTCTGAGTTAGCCGTAGGCTCCCCGTCGAGGCAATCGTTCACATGCAGGCTCACATCCTGCAACAAATTAGTTAGAGGTTCGAAAAATAGGAATCCCAACCCGGCATCTTACCGACTCGCTTAACCCTGATAGATCTGACTGGCATATCGGACATGCAGGACCTTCACCACCAGAACATTCGCTAACATCATTGATCCCCAAGGAATCATCCATAACAGTTGAGTCAAGGAAATCCGCGTTCTCGCCAGCATCTTCGTCTGCGTAAAATGGATCAAGTGTATCGTCGTCTAGGAAGTTATCGTCTTCTATATCGTCAAAATTCGCGAATTCATCGTCTCCTGCGTGACTCGTGGCTTCTCTTACCAATGAGGGTGCGGCGACAGCGGACGGTTGCTCTTGACGTGCCGGGTTAACATTACCACTACTTGGACATTTTTCTTCGTTTCCGGTCGTGGTCCGCTCAAAGCTCGGTACTTCCTCGTCTACCTCCTTGAATGCACCCAGATCGTCTTCGCTGTCCGATTCATCGATAAAAGGACCACTGAGTTGGCGGGTCTTAGTAGGTTTGGCCGGATGGGGAACATCGCCCTGATCAACCGCTGAGGAAGAGTCCACTTTTCTTCGCTTGACCGAGTTTCCGTTCTCATTATATCTCCCACCCTCTGGCTGTGTCACATCTTCATTTCCGTCCTCATCTCCCCAGATATCATCCGGTGTCCTCGACCTTGACTCGCGGGAGTCAGGAATACCGGTTCCCGTCTTCAACGACTTCGAACCATTCTTATCCTCCAGAAACAGACCCCCAGCCGTATTACTTGCTTGCGAGCTACCTTGTCTGCGTAATGAAACGGGGCTATTACCGCTCCCAGTCGAACGCTCGACCTTAGTTGCAAACTGCGTGATTCGAGGCTGCCGAGAGGTGGCTTGCGGGGGCCCGTCGGCTTTCTGGAAGAAACTCAACAGACTCGCATTCCGTTTCACCTGCGTTTTCTGCTTTGAGCCGGGTGGTGTCTTCGATGGAGTAAATCCTTTTCGCGCCTGGGCGCCCGCCATTGTCGATCTTCAAACGGATACTTGCAAGCACTTGGGGGAAATCGGCGGGGTCTTGCGGGCACGTCGTGGTGGCTATAACGATAGCAATTCGTTGATCTCTCGCTCAAAGGACATGCCTTCCGTATTCACATAAAAACAGGGGAAATTTCCCGTCACGCTTGTTCAGGAAACGTACAGATTCGTATCGTCATGAGTCATGAAATTGGCGGTTAAGAAGCCCAAGCAGAAGGGCGCGGCCGGCGCGGCGAATCCTGTTTTTCGCGACGCGAGGTCACGTGCGTATATGGGCTTGACTGCCGGTTTCTGTACGCTCTACGAGAGAGGTACACCATCAGATTCAACTACATTTGCTACCATTTGACGGAAAGTGTACAATAAGCATATGTGTTTCCTGGGTTAATAATCCTGCTCATTAGCTCTAATCTAGTTGGGGCTTTTCAGACGCCCTCACTTCCAAAATCTGAGAGCTATTCTAGCGTCCGATCACCATTGATATAAGCCAGCTGTCAGAAGGCCAACTGAAGCGTATAATAACCGCTCTTTCGCCCGTTGAAATCATTATTACGCCCCTCGTGTGGTATCGTATTTATCAACCACGACCTTCTGTCCAACTTGTAGCACTCGCCCGCAATCGATTCGTTCGTGCAACATAAAGTGCGATCGCATCATGAGCGATCATGCAAGAGATAATTGAGCGATATGCATCGTCATAGATGGATAGCCTCGAAGAAAAAAAGAAAATACATAATTCAATCACCGAGCTTTTCCGGCTTGGTTCGCGGCTTCTGCAGGGAGACTACCAGTTAGCATCCATCTAACGGAAATGAAACGGGTTACTCAGGATAGAAGCCCAGATTGCGGCAGTGAAGGAGAATCGCCTCAGCTGGGCAGAACCCGTGGTAGCTCAGGACGTACCTCTCCGCGTAGCGTCTTCTAAAAGACCGACATCAACCTCTGACCGGGGCAGCATGACATATCGCACCACGCTACCACGAATGAACATGTTCTTCACCGAGGAGAGGTGAGGGTATTTGTCTAAATCGAGGACGTCGACATCGTCGAGCTTAATGTTGAGGTATTGATCGACCGACTTCAAGGTTCCGCGGATACGAATGTCATTCTTGAGCTCGATGGTGACGGTCTGGTTGGTGAGGGTCTTGAAAAAACTGTAAAGCGGTAGAATGTGAGCTATAGGACCAGCCAAAAGTTGGTGATGAGCCAGTTATAGCTCTTAGTGACATACCTGAAGAAAAGCATGGTTGCGACGTTAGGGCGATGGAGGGGTAGTCGAGGGAAAAATCAAGGCGCTATCGCATTGCTTGTCAAGCTTTGTAAATGAGTGGTATATTGCCTCCCGTGTCCCTCTTTGATGAGAACCACAAACGCGAAGGGAGAAATGTCCTGAAGTTGGTGATTTGAATTTCATGTCGCATTGCGTTGGTCGGGTTGAACTCAGCAGCACCTTATCACGTGATTGATATCTGGTTTGACAGCATGACACAAAGAACATCAAGGTATTTGTCGATAGGTAACAATCAATTCGACGTGCGATTAGGGTTACAATGGAAACCTTTATCAGTAAGTCATATGGCTAGCTCTTACCGAGCGAGCGCGTCTACATCTCTGCGCTGATGTATGTACATAGCAGGTGTCATATGAATATTCAAAGATCAGATCCCGCGCTCTCCCGGACCAGGTGTATCAAACATGCGTTATAGGGAGTCCTCAATCATTATTACATTATAGACCGCCACCAGGGCAATAGGGGTATCAAACTATAAGACCGACTTGGTCTGACAAACGATAAAGCATCATCAAAGGGAGTGTAGGTCGAGAAACCAGTTCTCAGATCAAACAAAACAGTTAACCGGTTCGAAGACGCGAGGGCGGCATCTTGCGTTTCGGCTTCATCGCCCATCCAGACAGGCAGGTCCAGCCTGCGCCATTCTTGCGGCCCTCATCAAAAACGCTACCGATACCTTCGAGCAACCGGTGTCGCTCGCGACCCATCTCGACTTGCAGCTTGAGAAGCCATTGTTCCCACATCCAGCCTCCAAAGAGACCTGTCACGCTCGCGATGTCGGCCGTGCTGCCCACAGGCCCGTGTACAGCTTCGTATTCGTCGACCCAGCTCTTGACCCGAGGGTCTGGCGTCTCTCTGGGAAGTTGTGCTTTTACAGGCTCCATGCCCATAGGCAGAAACATCCATGCCCTCTTCACGCCAACAAAGCCTCCAGTTCGCAAGCGTCCAAGAAAGCTCCTTGTTGGTAACGGGTCGTATCCCCTAGTTTTGAGGTTGAACGCGAACTCAACCGAAGCAGCAGTGGCATACGGTCCTGCGCGGGAAATCTCGGCGTCCATCACGAAAAACTCCAGATAGCCCCCAGGCTTGAGGCAGCGGCGGCATTCCTGTAGGCAAAGGTCGTACTCATCTTGCGTCTCCCCGACCGGGCGCTCGTTCCTCAGCAAGGCGGGCAGTGAGCGGGCCGAGATCAGGTCGAACTTGTTGTCCGAGAACGGTAGTTTCCACAGTTGAGACACGGGAATCTGGCAATGATTAGACGGGCCTTTGACGCCATGGTTTACTGCTTGGTGCTCAGTAAACACAGTATAGACTTTAACGTTGGGATAATCGTGGGCAAGCTGCCACGCCCATTCGCACGAGGCGTGTCCGCCCAGGTCCAAAACTCTCACCCGGCGTCCTCTAGGTCTTTGAGGAGGCACGGGTTGTGCAGTCGCTGTGGAAAGACGCGTTCTGGCGGGACTGGTGACCAGGTGGCCGCCATTAAGGTACCTGAGAGCGTCCATGGCCCACATGGGCGGACGAAGCTGAGATAAGACCAATTGCTCCTTCTCCAGGATGGAAAACTGTGCCTTTTCTGCCAATACCGACGTAAGTACGGAATTGCGGGGAGCCTGTGAGAATGGACCCTTGTAGGGAGGTCGTTCGGGCCGCACCAGCTCATAATTCCCCAGCAAACAGTTGATATGCATGCTGAGTAAACCTGATCGAATTGACTGCACAGCGTCAAAGCGCGTGCTTCGATGAATGAAGCTATCTCGACGAGTCGAACGCCCAAGCACCGATTGGAAGCCTCGCCAATAGATCGAGTCTTTACTAGCCAGGGCAGACGGTGGTCGGGCTGCTTCAGATACGGACTCGGCGAAGCGGACAGACTTTTTCCGACATAACCCAGGGGCGTTCTTCTCGCAATCATCTCGAACCCCTTCGAGTGCGTCCGACTCTTCATTGTCCAAGGAGTTGACAGGATTAGTTTCGCTGAGTGCAGCAAGATAGGTCTGCTGCGCCGCCAACCAGACACTCGTCCGATCCAGACTCGACATTGCCTTTCTTTTCAGTTCCTCCTCGTAGTCTTCATCACGATCCTGGCTTTCGCAATAGGTGGCGGGTCTTGAAATCTCGTGCACTGCATCCGCTACAGGGCTCACAGGGCTGTCTTGATACCCAATGGGGAACGATGATGCCTCCGAGGGTATCTTGATTGCAGTTGGGGGTCCCTCGGGTACATAGGTCGCAGTTAATTGCTCATCGGTGCATCGCTCGGGACGTTCAATGATTTGTTCAACTACTTCTCCGTCATCGCGACCAAAGGGTAAGTTGTAGAAACTTTCCGCGATGGCAGAAGAGGGTGGCATAGCAGTTCTAGGAATCGACCAAGTGTGACGAGCTCGAGCACCAAGTGACGCAAAGAATCCTCCGGGAGAAGGTATACTGAGCCCGCTGAAGCTGTATCCGGAGAGGGCTGAGGCTGGAGTCGCATCATCGGCGCTGCGAGGACGCTCGACAGGTAGCTCGAGCTGCCACATCTCTTCGTTCTGAGCAGATGTTTCTGACCAAGGCTCCGGTGTGCCGCCCAATGGGATGTGCCTCAAAGTTGCGAGGGCATCTTCAGGGAGAAAAACACCACCATCCGACGGCAATGTAGACTGGCTGGGAATAGGCGGAAAGCTGCCGAGAACGTGTTGCCAATCTTCGTCCGGGTTCTCAATGGCTATCTCAATGCTTTGAACATCGGGGTCATTCCCATCGCTATCAATGTCCGCATGCTGACAGTCTATCATTTCCGGTCGCACCTGAACATCTGGGGCGTTCCAGTCAGTATCTGGAAGGGACTGCAAGTCCGGAGTTACTGGCTCGCTGCTATTGGAGACCTGATCCGAAGATACACTGCCATCCAAGGAGGGAGGGGCATTCAGGGCCGGTACTGTTCTCGCAAGTATGGACAGAGCAGCAGGTGAAACTGGTATCTTCGGCGGCGGCGTTGGAGGAACTGGAGAGCTCTTTGGCGCATTGTGTAATGAGGGCCACGTGGTCGATGAAGGTATTGTGAGGCTGGGGTACCGATTCCGATTCAGTGGCGAGGTAATAGGATTCCTTGTAGTGGGAGTTGTAAGGCTCGTCGGTCGGGAGCTCGAGAATGAAGTGCAATCGTCGCTCAACTCGGAGTCCTCATCCGTAACATCATACAGATCATCCAAGCTCTGCATCTGTCGCTGCCATTCCGTGTCCGAGCAAGATGACATCGTGCCTGCTGACAATGGCGAACGAAGACGATTCAGCCTTGAGAGAGAAAGGCTAGAAAGACCCGTGGTCATGAGTTTCAGCTGCGGTCCTGAGGTGGTTGAATGAAACCCAGCACCATCATTCTTGATCTTGTCCGAGTCCGGACCCTCGCTTACTTCCTCCATTATGGTATTAAGTTTCGTCCCTCGGACCTGCCGAGAGGGCGGGCATCTCGTTGAAGCCCGAGAAGCGTCAGCCATCTCGTGCTGCGGTGTTGACTGTTGATTCCCGCTATTAGATTTAACTCCTCCTTTCAATGATTATAATCCGCAGAAATGAGAGAAATCAGCCGGTACTTCTAGGGTATCTCAATCACAGGCGACGCCGATCAACGGGTCTGCCAGTATTAATAAATCAAAGGAGGATGTCAACGAATGAAGCCCAAGCTTCCAGAGCTCAAGGCACTATCACAACA